CGAGATGATACATAATGCACTTGTAAGTTATTTCCTCAAAAGTCGTGCCTGTCATTAAAAATTATCCTCTTATTGCATCTGAAAAATGAAAGATTTATTATCATTACAGATTTTTAAATTGAAAATTTTAACTTCATAGAAGCACACCATTTATGGGAAAAGATTATCCACCTACGTAGCCCACCAGCTTTCAATTTTTTTAGTTTTTATAGAATTGACCATGAGTTCTAAAATGCATATTTGACAAGGAAGAAACTTAATGTACGTACCTTTATTTTCATGCTGCCCAAACCCTACTGAAGAAATATTTATTTCCTTAAAAGTCCCCCAAAAAGTGACATTATTCCACCGACGATGACCTATTATAGTTTTCTTGATCTTTTGATTGTAAATTCCATCAAAAATTGGACTACATCGCGCGCCGTACCGCACCCCTTGCGTCTATTTGTGCAATCACTGGTGAACATGGCTAAAGCTACATTCTTCCTTTGTGCCGAATACCAGCTTCAACATGTGGCCGTTAGTCTTGTTCCAAGGTGGAGATGGAAAACTTTAAGAACTGCTCATTTGACCTTCAATTCATTCAATAGGTTTAAGTAGAATTTCTTTCCTTCATGGTAGAAATGAATGATGGAAAGTAGTCAAAGATTTGTGTTTGGCAGAGTGAATGATAGTTATTATGGTGCATATCTCACAGACTCAAAAACGAAGCATTCGCAATGAAACACTTGCAGCCGGCCCAAAACCACATGTCCGTGCACCAACGGAGAGCAGTTGATGCATGCATGACTATTAGAAACATGCATGAACACCGATCTCCACCTGGACCGATGCCATTTCCGATCTCACCAGCTTCTCTCTATTGTGAATGGTTTAGGTTCAGTTGTCAAACCCTGTTTGACTTTAAATAACTTTGGATCGCTGATTTTATGGGAGATTACACTGCCAAGGTTTGTGGGATTTAAAGAATTTTTCAAAAGCTGGCACCATGGGAATTTCAAATGCTTCGACAATTACTTGCATTTCAAGTTTTTTAAGGTAAAGGAAGAATTTATGTCAGGCTAAAGGGCTGCATCGTTTAGGTTTTTTCAGTTCTCAGCAAATTTTGGTCATATGTGACGAAGTACATGTAGGCCTACTTTTTCCACGACAGTTTGCTTTGATTCTTGAAGATTAAGCCATGATGTTGGTCCAGCAGAAGATTTTCTTGGAAGACATTAACACTCCAAGCAATGAGTTACTAATTTGTGTCGATCCTTCAGATATTGCAGTTGAGTTTCCAATAAGAAATACGGGGTAATCAGCGACAAGAAATTTTTCATTGCGAGCAATTTGGCATCTGGGAAAAACTCTGATGTAGTTTTCATCGCACAAAATGTAGCACCCAAATGCCCAGCATATTAAGGAGTCACAAATGGCAGGAAGCCAACAGTGGGCCATTGGTGTGCTGCAGACGAATGGGTCAGATTACAGCACGCCGTGCACGGAGCTGCTATGATTCTGCAAAGTCGCATAATGAACTTCAATTTTTGGCAATGCAAATAAAGCCATGTGGTTTAGGTTCCTTTATTTGATATAAAACCACACATTTTCTTCAAAAATCGACAGATTGTTTTAAACGGCAGTCTTTTGGAATCACTGGACTTTTCCTGAAATCGGATCTCAAGGTTATGGAATCGGCGGTGGTGTGGATTTGACGCCTCAAAAAAGTGGAATCGTGACTCCGATTCCCAATTTGGAATCAATTCTACTTGAATCCAGCATGGATTCACCCAAGCCTGCTGCACGCTGACTGCAAAGACCATGACCGGCTTTTTGTTGTAAGGGAACGTGAAAGAACAGGAGGGCCGTTCGGACGCCTGCCAATGGAGGCAGCTTGAACTAAAGATGGCGTTCCTGGCATTTGCACACGTGTGACCGGTTGATGTATTTTTGATGTTGTCCCTAACTGATTCTTATGATATTTTGTAAATGTTCTGTTTGTAGCCCTCTTCTCGAAGTATGTTCTGAACAAAACTCTTCTGCAAACTTTTCTTGCAATACCTTTGCAATTTGGCCTGGTGCAGGGATCAGTCTGAGGATGACTCAGACACCGATGGGCTGCTGCATATTTTTACAGTGAGACTTCCCTTTCTTGGTCCGGTGACTGTGCTGCTCTTCCAAGGCAGGTTCAGATAGGCCTATAGGCAGAACCGTGGGAGTTCCCTAGCAACAAATAAGTTCTGAAGTTGATGGTAAACTCGGGGAAGCCATGGGCTGTTGTGAGCCAGGGGATCTTTCTCTGCTGGGAATCTTTCTCCCATGGGATATGTCTGTTCGACTGCCCACATCAGGCATGTCAGGGGCCTTGGACATGTAGCTCGAAACAGGAGCTTGCGCTGAGGCCTGGAAAGGCAAATCTGCAGGGAGGGGGGTGCCCCACTTGCCCATGAAATTTACTGCTGCGGTCCCATGTTGGTGGCTCTTACTGGAGAACTTTTCTATCAGCTGTCATTCCTCCCAAAAAGCGGGGTGGTATTACTGTGGCCTGGCTCCCAGACTATTGGGACACTATCTCCATGTCTCAGGTGATAGGATAAATTCTGCCAATGAGAGAGAGCTCCCAGCACATTCACATTCAAGGTTTGACCCAGGAGAGGGAAATACTTCTACAGATGCTGGGAGTCCCATGTCCCCTGATCACAGTGGCTCCAGCCAATCTCCTCTTCACGGATCTTCCCATAATCAAATGTGTAGAAAAATAATGAAAATCTGTACTTACAGGGGACAAAAACTAAAGATACAGAATAAAAAACAGAGGCAACCTCTACTCTTTATTAAATCGATAAAATTAATACAAGCAGATGGAGGATGGTGGAGAGAAACCCAAAAACTAGAACGGCAAAGCCACCACAGAATTTGAATTTCTTTCCTGTAATAGCAGCTTATTAAGAGACATCCAAGTTATACAAAATGAAGTCCACCCTGTTCTGGAATACACTATTCTGTCAACAGGGTAATTAAATTCTGTCTTCGAAGGGAGAGCATACCCAGATGACCACAGCAAAGGACAAAACTGTCTTCTTTTCTTTCCCTTTCAAAAGGATTATGCAATCAAATCCCTAAAAGTGAATAAACATAAGACCACCAACAAGGAAAAATAAGCATACAAAGGCTTCACAATTTTAACAGGAGAGGAATGCCTATAATAATGTGGGTGCACATTATCCAGCCAAGGATACCTAGATGAGCAGTGCATTTGTGAGTTTGATGGATGGTGCATAATTAAAATTCCTCATAAGTACAGTTTTGCACTTTGCATCCAACCCCATCATCCTATCCTCTACAATTCTAACCCCCCCATCATCCCATATCTACCATTTCTGCTTTGACTCCATCCCCAATCCCACATCCATGTTATCTTTCCATCCATATGGTACTCTACCCCTCCCTCATCTTGTCTATCTCCTAATTTGTCCCATCCTATCATCCGATTCATCAGCTTCTCCACCCATCCCTACCATCCCATCCATCTCCTATTCTGCCCCCTCCCACCATCCTATCCATCTCCTACTATGCCCCCTCCCCATCATCCTATCCATCTCCTACTCC